TGTTTGTTTCTGTACTAGTTTGTATTCTAATAACAATATACCCTTTCCCCCTGTCCCCCATCTTACTTGGTTTCTTAAATTCCTCCTATGAGTGAAACCATTCAATATTTTCCTTTTTCACTGTGCATAATCCCTTCCAGCTTCATACATGTTGCTGTGAATGGTATGAGTTTATCTTTTTTGATTACAGAGTAGTATCCCATTGTGTATATATCCCAAATCTTCTTGATCCAATCATCTAGTTTTGGGAATTTGGGTTGTTTCCAGGATATACCTGTTTTACGCAGTGCTGTGATAAACATAGGGGTGCATGTATCTTTTTTTTTTTAAAGATTTATTTATTTATTTGTGCATACAGAACTGGGGTACAGGCCAGAGGCTCAGGGGCGGTGAGAGGCTTCACCAGAGACAGAGTGGGGAGCAGAACAGGCAGATCTACGAAGTACACTGCTGAGGGGAGCAGCGGGCGGGTCAGGAGAGGTCTGGCTCGCCATGTGGTCTCCTCCGGGGCAGGCGGCAGGCAGGAATCGAACTCATGCGGAAGTGGCTTCAGATTCTCAGTACTGTGCTTTAACCCGCTGCGCCACCGGGGAGGGCCGCATGTATCTTTTTGACTAATGTTTTTGTGTCCTTTAGGAGATGCCTAGAGTGAAATTGCTGGGCTGTATGGTAGCTCCATTTTTATTAGTTTGAGGAATCTCCATACAGCTTTTCATAGTGGTTGTACCAGTTTACAGACCCATCAGCAATGTAGGAGAGTTCCTTTTTTACTGCATCCTCACCAACATTTGTTTGATATGTGCCATTCTCACTAGTGTTAGATGGTATCTCATTGTGGTTTTGATTTGCATTTCCCCGATTATGAGGGATGTTGAACACTTTTTCATATGCTTGTTGGCTATTTCCCTCAGCACTGTATTTCAGTCAGTCTGCCTATTCTGCTCCCTACTCTGTCTCTGGTGAATCTTCTCATCCCCTCCATGTGTGGCCTATACCCCAGTTCTTGTATGTATAAATAAATCTTTGGAAAACAAAACAAACCAAACCATAATGAGATACTATTTCACCCCTGAAAGAATGGCCACATTGTCAAAAAAGAATGGAAACTTCAAAAGTTGGTGAGGATATGTAGGAAAAGGAACGCTCATCTCCGGTAGGTGGGAATGTAAGCCAGTATACCCTCTGTGAAAAGTTTTATTCAGAAAATAAAAATAGAAATGCCATGTGATCCAGCAATACCTTTGATGAATATCTTCTCACCAAATATGAAAACTTTAATATGAAAAGGTCTACGCAGCCCTATATTTGTAACAGTATTGTCTACAATTTCCAAGTCACAGAACTAAACTAAATGCTCACCCACAGGCAAATGATAAAGAAATTTTGGAATATACACTCAGTAGAATACTATACAGATAATTAAAGAAGATAAAATAATATCTTTTGGGACAAGATGGACAGACCTCAGGTGATCTTAAGTGAAATAAGCCAGAAAGTGAAAGAATATATAAGCTGATTTTGCTCATCTGTGAAATATAAACCACCAAGAAAAAAAAAACACACACAGGTAAAGTACAGCAGGAATAAACCTTGGACCTAGTGAAAGACTGGCTATTAAAGGAATTTATTATTCTTTGGGCCCTCCTTGGTGGTGCT